CTGGGTGGCTCAGTCGTTAAGCGTCTGCCTTCGGCTCAGGTCATGATCCCAGGGTCCTGGGATCGAGTCCCGCATCAGGCTCCCTGCTCCTTGGGAGCCTGCTTCTCCCTCTGCTTCTCTCTCTCTCTCTCTCTCCCTCTCTCTCTCTCTCTCCCTCTGTCTCTCATGAATAAATAAATAAAATCTTTAAAAAAAAAAAGATTTTACTTATTTGAGAGAGAGAGAGAAAATATGCACGAGTAGGGGGGAGGGGCAGAGGGAGAAGGAGACTCCCCACTGAGCAGGGAACCCAGTGCAGGGCTCCATCCCAGGACCCCAAGATCGTGACCTGAGTCAAAGGAAGTCAGACATTTAACTGACTGAGCTACCCAGGCTCCCCTAAAAATTTTATTTTTCGGTTATCTCTACACCCGACATGGGGCTCAGACTCACAACTCCAAGATCCAGGGTTGCATGCTCTACCGACCGAGCCAGCCAGGTGCCCCTGTTTTAAGATTCTTTTAATCTTTTGTTTTCCTTGCAATGTATTTGTTGGAAAAATTGGGTTGTCCTCTGATAGTTTCCTGTGGTGTGAATTTTGCTGGCTGAATGCCCGTGGTAGGGTTTAACATGTTCCTCCGTCCTCTGATTTTCTTAGAAAACCTCCTCAGGTGGGTCCCTGCTTTCTTGGTCCTGCTGAGAGGAGTGGCCACACCCACCACCTCCACTTCCTCACCTCCCATGTACTCCTTGCCCGCGGCGCCGTGGCTTCTGCCCCCGCCACACAGCACTAAGAGTGCTCTGGCAACATTATGTCCATTTGCAGCCTTCCTACTTGTATCTGCTCGATCCTACTTCTTGAAACCCTCGGCTCCAGACACCCACTCCCTCCTGGTGCTGCTTCTCTTTTTAAATGCTGGTGCTTCCCAGAGCCCTCCTTTTCCTACCTGACCTGGTAACCTTACCAGCGCTGTGCTTAGTCATCACCCATGTCTGCTGGCGGCTCCAAAATCCCCGTTTCTCGCCCACTGTCTCTCCGAACGGCAGGATCCACCATCAGGACGCGGCCCATGCACAATTTTCCTGCTGACATCTCAACCTTAACATCTGCAAAGCTGAAGTCTCTCCCCCGCCCCCCAACTCTGCTGCTTATCAGCTTCATCACGGTGCACGAAACTCCTTGACATTCAGTTTCTGTGCTTGTGAGATGGGAGTAATCCCCTGCGGTGAGTTTCAGACGAGAGAGACCAAGAGAAGTGTGGAGCCCACAGCCAGCACCCCAGATGCATGCAGGTTGCTGCCTTCTGCTGCCCCCATCCTCCACTCTGAATGGTGCCTTGTGGCAGGTTGCAGCTACCCATAGCAGAAACCCAAGGCTTCTACATCTCATGAGCTGCTCATTCTGGCAGATCCTGCCTTAGAAGCAGCTCTCACTTTTGTCCCTGCTTGCTATTCCTACGGTTCCTGCCCAAGTTCAGGGCTTCATCTCTTTCTGTCTGGCCGATTGCATCAGCCTCCTTTTGCCTCCCAACCTGTCTCCAGTCGGTGGCTGAAGTGACCCGTCTAGAACAAAATCATAATTCTATAATTTCCTTGCTTGGGGCACCTGGCTGGCTCAGTCAGTCAGTCAGTAGAGTGTGTGACTCTTGATCTTGGGGTTGTAAGTTCAAGCCCCACGCTGGATGTAGAGATTACTTAAAAATAAATCTTAAAAAAAAATTGCCTTGTGCTTAAAATTCTATGATGGCCCCTAGGATCTGACCAAATTACTCAGCTAAATAATTCAGGCTTTTGCCCCCTGGCCATCCCATCGCTCCTCTGAAGCCCGCCCTTACAGCATTTCTCTATTTTCTTGCTTTCGAGTGTCGGACACCTGCTTTTTCAGCCCGAAATATCTCCCCCACATCACCTCATAACTCTGCCTGGCAAACACTACTCATCCTTCAAGGCCACAAAAATTACCTCCCCCGTCCTCACAGACACTTAGTCATTTCTTCCTCTGTGCTCCCACGACCTCTGGTAAAGGTTCAGTCGTCCTTTAGCAAACACATCTACCATGTGCCAAAGTTCCCGGGAGCTTTGCAAATAGTCACTCAATTTTCATACAACCCTGCGAGGTGATTATTTTCGTTTTCCCTGTCACAAAGGAGGCACCTTTGAGGCCCCGGGGATGTTCAGTCACTTGGCCGAGATCACTTAGCTGCAGGTGGCCAAGACAGTACTGAAGACCACGCCGTATGGCCCCAGAATCTGGGTGCTGATTCATTCCACCGTGCAGTCTCTCTGCCTGGATGAGTATCACTGAACACGCAGTATTAAGCAAAACAATATGAAATTGCCAATACGTGGCCATTTTTGACCTATAAAAGTAGCACATTTGTATGGTTCCGTGCGTGAGGCACTTGGAATGGAGCAGAAAACTCTCTGGATGACCCATTTTTGGCCTCCAGAGTAGGGCATGGGTGAAGAGCAAGGAACCGACTGAGCATGTGACCCGACGGGGGGTCTGCCAGAGCCCCCTGCCAAGGAAGTGATATCTAAGAGAAGACCTGAAAGAGGAGTGGAGGTGAAGGAGGAGTCTGAGGTGAGGGGAAGGGAAGGGCCTTCCAGGCAGGGGCACAACCTTGGAACAGCATAGGCTAAGGCCTGAAAGCTAAGAGGGAGTGCTGTCCACTCTGTCATCCAGCAATTAGTGCCTGGCACGGAGCCGGTGTTCGAGAAGGATTTGTCAAAAGAATAAATGAAAAATAGAGAGAAGTATCAGCTGGAGCTAATAGAATGAAAGTGGGGTTTTAAACAGGAGAGTGATTTACTTTTTTATTGCCTTATTTTAATAGGTTTAATGAGAGTAAAATTCACCCTTTTCTGTGTAGAGTTCTGCGTCTTGACAAATGCATCAGTGGTGTAACCACCATCAGAAACAAAATGTAGACTAGTTCAGTCCCATCCCCAAACTCCCTGGTGCCGGTCCTTTGTGGCCAGCCCCTCCTCCACACTCAAGAAACCACCAGTCTGTTCTCTCACTGTGGTTTTGCTTTTTCCAAAATGTCATATGGATGATGAACTCAAATAGCACAGGGCCTTTAGAATCGGGCTTCTTTACTTAGAATAATACATTTGAAACGCTTCCCTATTGTGTCTTTGAGTAGTTAGTTCCTTTCTAGGCTTAATGACTAAGTCACCCAGGTGCCCCAGGATTCACATTCACTTTAAAAAGCAAACATCAGGAGACACCTGGGTGGCTCAGTCAGGTTAAGCATCTGCCTTCAGCTCAGGTCATGATCTCAGGGTCCTGAGATGGAGCCCCACATTGGGCTCCCTGCTCAGCGGGGAGCCTGCTTCTCCCTCTCCTGCTCTCCCTGCTTGTGCTCTCTCTCTCTCTTTCTCTGTGTGTCAGAGATATAAATAAAATCTTTAAAAAGGGCACCTGGGTGGCTCAGTTGGTTAAGCGACTGCCTTTGGCTCAGGTCATGATCCTGGAGTCCCTGGATGGAGTCCCACATTGGGCTCCCTACTCGGCAGGGGGTCTGCTTCTCCCTCAGACCCTCACCCCTCTCATGTGCTCTCTCTCATTCTCTCTCTCTCAAATAAATAAATAAAATCTTTTTAAAAAAAATCTTAAAAAAAAAAAAGCAAACATCCCTGCACCTGGTGTGGATGGAGTGTGAGCTTCTGCATCTCTGCTGTATGTCCAGGGGCCTTTTGCCTGGCTGGCTGGTGAACAGTGGAGATGGGAACTGTGTCTTTGTCACTTTTACTGACTATTCCCAGCACCCAGCCAGGGCACAGCTGGCTCTGAGCGAGGAATGGAAGCCACTTGGAGCAGAATGTGGGAAAGGAGGGCCAGGTACCGTCACTGAGGGTGGGGGATGGGGAGGTGAATACTCGGTGCTTGGCTTTGGGGAAGAAAGGGTGGGCAAGAAGGGCCTTGTTCTGAGAGTACAGCAACCAGAACGCCTGGTCTTAACTTCAACTTGGAGCAAAAGTGAGGAAGCAAAATAACCCCCCTAACATGCCATCCAATGTCCGTCCAGGGCTCGAGCACATGAGGCTGCAGGCCTTCTCCTGGCCGACAGATGGCGATGTTGCACCGTGCCTGAGCTCACCGGTTCGCTCCACGGACCTCAGGGGCGGGTTAGCAGCCAGACACGGGCAGGAAGGACCACCATGTGCACAACACTTTTTTTTTTTTTTTTTTTTTTTACGGGGAAAGGACTCGCGCACACTCCTGAAGCTGTGCCTCACAGAGCAAGGGCTCAAGCCCAACTTACCCCTGCACCTTCCTTGTAGAGCCCGCATCTCTAGAGAGAGGACAGTTCGTTGAGACATCAGGCGCGCGTGCGTGTGTGCGTCTCTGTGTGTGTGTGTCTGTGTGTGTATGTGTGTGTCTGTGTGTGTGGCGGGGGGGGGATTGCTCCAAGCAAGAGGTGCAAAGGCAGAAGAACAGGCGGCCGTGATCACGAGGCCTGGCCGGTCGGACTCTGCTGCCAGTTTGCTGTATGACCTCGGCCGACTTGCCTTTACTCAGTCTCCACATCTGTAAAGAGCTGGCCTTCCCAAGGTGAAATACGGCAGCCATGGGGCAGACACACATCCTGCCCGGGGCGGCTGCAAAGGCAGCAGGCGGCTTTCCAGGGCCTTCTCCTCTGGTTGGTCAGGAGCTGTTGATCGGGCACTAGGTTTGACACAGAATAGAGGCCACTCAGTTAAATCTGAATTTCGGATAATCAACAGATGATTTTTAAGTGTAAGTATGTTCTAACTATCACCCGGGATATATTTATACTTAAAACAAACCTTTGATGTTTGTCAGAAATTTAGATCTAACGAGGGGTCCTGTGTTTTTATTTGCTTAACCTGACAGCCTTGTCCAGCCCACAAGGCCCTCTCCCGGGATCCCCAGATCTTCGCCCTGATTGGCTAGCCCCCAGTGTCGCTGGTGCTTAAATGTTTTGACAAGCACCCGCGACTCCCAGGGAGGCAGCCAAGAGGTAACCCCCTTGTCCGTCTTTCCCTTCCAGGTCTGGCGCTGCTGCTGCCCCCTGCCACTCTGGCCGCCCTGGCAGAGAGCTGGCTCCGAGAGGACTGCCCCGGTCCCAACCATGCAGCCTTGGTCACGGGCGCAGCCCCCTCGCAGGCGGTGCTGTGGGCCAAGTCCCCCGGGGTACTGGCTGGGAGGCCCTTCTTCGATGCCATCTTTGCCAAAGTCAACTGCCAGGTCTCCTGGTTCCTCCCCGAGGGCGCAAAGCTGGTGCCTGTGGCCAGGGTGGCCGAGGTCCGGGGCCCCGCGCACTGCCTGCTGCTGGGGGAGCGGGTGGCCCTGAACACACTGGCCCGCTGCAGTGGGGTGGCCAGCGCCGCCGCCGCCGCCGTGGAGGCCGCCCGGGAGGCGGGCTGGGCCGGGCACGTGGCGGGCACGAGGAAGACCACGCCCGGCTTCCGGCTGGCGGAGAAGTACGGGCTCCTGGTGGGCGGGGCCGCCGCTCACCGCTACGACCTGGGAGGACTGGTGATGGTGAAGGACAACCACGTGGTGGCGGCGGGCAGCGTGGAAAAGGTGCGTGCCCCGCCGCCCCCCTGCCCTGCCTCCCCCACCTCCCCGCTGCAGCCCTTCCCCTCCACCGGGGACCCCCCCACACCCCAAACCACGCCCTGGTGAACAGTGATGGCCCGGGAGTCGGGGCTGCTAGACCCCCTGATCCCCTGGGCGCTCTACCGGTCAGATGGGCGCGTGGCCGACTTTTCTCTCCCGACGCTCTGGGACTTGCTGTGATGTTCAAAAGCAAAGGGCAAGCTGCCCGGAACCTGGTGTTGGTGGCGCTGTCACCTTGGCCCGGTCACTCTAGCTCCCTGGACCGGTTTCCTTTTTGAAAATGTTCTTGAAGACCCCTTCCAGTTTTATTTATTTATTTATATATTTTTTCGGTGCAAGATATGTTTTTATTATAGCAGGAGGACAGGACCCGCGGGCAGAAAGAGCTGCCTTCCAGTGGTTTTGTTTGTTTGTTTGTTTGTTTGTTTATTTATTTGACAGAGAGAGACACAGCGAGAGAGGGAACACAAGTAGGAGGAGTGGGAGAGGGAGAAGCAGGCTTCCTGCCGAGCAGGGAGCCCGATGCGGGGCTCGATCCCAGGACCCTGGGATCATGATCTGAGCTGAAGGCAGACGCTTAACGACTGAGCCACCCAGCCTCCCCTGCCTTCCAGTTTTAATATTCTTGAGTCAAATTGAACTCCCGTCCAACTGCCAAATATTGCTGATATTTGGCCACCTTTCTGATCCACACAAGCGGTCATTTCATGTGGTTTCACCTAGTGTGGGAGCAATCATCTGGCTGCCTGGTCTTCTCCCTAACCCCCAGCTCCTTACCCACGCTGGGCCTCTCGAAGGCCAGGCCCCGCTCTGTGCCCCGTGCCAGGCGCCACTGAGCTCACTCTCCCCCTCCGGGCCTGCCCCACAGGCGGTGCGAGGGGCGCGGCAGGTGGCTGACTTTGCCCTGAAGGTGGAGGTGGAGTGCGGCAGTCTGCAGGAGGCTGTGGAGGCCGCTGAGGCGGGAGCGGACCTCGTCCTACTGGACAACTTCAAGCCTGAGGTGAGGCGGGGTCTGCTTCCCGGGAAGGGGCTGTGGTGGTGGTGGTGTGGGGGGGGACCCTCATCTCCCCTTGGCTTGTGTCTCACAGGAACTACACCCCACGGCTGCAGCGCTGAAGGCCCGCTTCCCGGGTGTGGGCGTGGAGGCCAGCGGGGGCATCACGTTGGCCAACCTCCCTCAGTTCTGTGGGCCCCACATCGATGTCATCTCTCTGGGGATGCTGACCCAGGCCGCCCCCGCCCTTGATTTCTCCCTCAAGCTGTTTGCTGAAGGGACCGCGCCAGTGTACTGGGCCTACAGGTCCTAAACTCAAAGAGGATGCCACCGCCCATGGAATAACACGGTTTCTTGGGACCCTCGAGGTTGCCCCTGTTTAAATATAGTACATGACTCTCTCCGGGTTAGCCTGGGCGGGAGTCTGGCTCGGCCGCCTACTGCTCGTGTGAGCTGGGGGGGCTGACTTCACCCTTGCTCATCTGTACAATGGGTCTAATAAATGATCACCTTACAGATTTCTTTGGGTGATAATGAATAAGTGCTCAGTAACTCTTAGAAATTACCATAGCTCATCGACTCTAAGATGCACCTTTTTCCACACACAACCTTCTCTGAGTCAAAGTGTGTCTTTCACCATGGAGTCTAGTGGTCACTGTCACAGGGCTGTCGGTCATAGCCGTCATGGCCCGTGCATGCAGCTTGTAGACAGAACATAACAATCGATGTGGAAGTAAGTCCGCGAGACTTATTTTAACAGATGCCGGAAAGAAATTGAAAGTGATAAAAAAAAAAAAAAGCTGCTCTCCCTCTAACCCTCCCCCTGCCCATGTGCACGCTCTCTCTCAAATAAATAAAATCTTAAAAAAGGAAAGAAAGAAAGAAAGCATTGGTCATAGTTTAATTGACAAGTTTCTTTTCCAGTAATAGTATATATATATTACAGTCAATGGCATCTTATATTTGAGGATATATGGCATCAGGTCTGAGATTCAGCTGGAACATTCTATGTGGTTGATGCCCATGTTGTACTGGTCATTAAGTGCTTTGCCTGTCACCTCTGGCTACTGTGACCACCTCTTTGGAGGAGGTGAGAACCTGCCCATTCACTTCTGGGGTCCCCAACAGACTCCACCATGCATCCTCCATTTGGTGCTTGAAGGCCCTTTAGGTTCTGGTTCCATAGCGCTATCATTAGTTGGGGGACGAAGGTGAACACAGGGCAGCCGGGGCCAGAACAAAGGTCAGTTGAGGGAGTAAGGAATGGTGCAGGTAGAGGTCCCTGTTCAGACATCAGACTTCCTTTCCTGCTAATTCAGGACTCAGGGGTCTAAGCAGAGGATTTAGATCCAGCCTCCCCACTCCTACACACCTGAGGTCTTGCTCACTCACTTTTTTGGGCACCCTACCCTTCTGGGGTCCCTCCAGGAGGAAACATGACAGGAGGGCTCCCTAGGATAAACTGGTCACTGAGGTGACTCTTCCCAGAAAGGCTCCAGTCTTGAGAGGTACTCCCCTTCCAGAACCCACTGTCTTCTCTGCACTTTGCCAGAAGGAGAGGAAAATAGCTCATCCACAAAGCTCCTTTCCCAGGGGGAGTCTGCGGGTCCCAGTCTGCCTTAAGGGAGGTAACCTATCCCTTTGCCCCTTCCTCAGTCCTAGAGACCCCTTGCTAGAAAAGAGGCGGATCAAGAAAACAATGAGCTCATCTCAGATGTGAAAACCCCAGACAAGCCAAGACCATCCTTCACATAGCAATTATGTACTGAGCTGCAGCTGTGGCCAGGCTCAGAGCACACAGTGGAGATGAATCTAGCAAAGATGCTGGGCAGAAGTGGTGAGCCACTGCCTTCGGTCATGCCCTGGCCTGAAGGGACCGTTCTCCCAGGACACAGCCCAGAGATGCCCCTGGGGCTGCACCTGTCCTCTTTTAATACACACTGGGGCCTCCTGCCCTTTTTCCAGGGAAAACAGTCATGCTCAGCTAGGCAGACTTCCCGGCTCCAGGGAACTTAGATCTCTGAGCCTCAGCTCCTCAACTCCCAAGGGGCATAACTGAATGCCCATAGAACCAGGGGCACTTCTGGGTGTCAAGATAAGGAAATCAGGATTCACGGATGCACTGGGAATGGGAAGGCAAAACGCTTGGGATCCAGGAGGGAATCAGAGCCTGACAGAGGCAGAAGGGCGAAGTGTACCAGGAATTTCAAACTCAAATGCCTCCAGGACCCAAGCAGATAAAATAAATGGGAGAAGCTGGAAGAAGACAAAGAGAAGTGGGCTGCAGCCAACTGGGGAATGTATACTGCACCCCACAGCATCCCAATTAAGAAAGGAAAAAGAACTCTAGGGGCGCTTGGGTGGCTCAGCATCTGCCATCGGCTCAGGTCATGATCCTGGGGTCCTGGGATCAAGCTCTGAATTGGGCTCCCTGCTCAGCGGGGAGCCTGCTTCTCCCTCTCCCTCTGCTCCTCCCCCTGCTTGTGTTTTCTCCCTCCCTCTGACCCTCTCAAATAAATAAATAAATAAATAAATAAAATCTAAAAAAAGAACTCTAGCAGGCTGAGTCTCAAGCTCACCCTCGAATGCAGAAATGGGTCAGGCCTACAGGCACCTCCAGATCCGAGAACTGAGAGCGGCTCCCATTGCCAGAGGAAAAGGAAAAGACTCCTGGGCAGGCAAAAGTAACACATGCCTTCCTTGCAAGGGAGTGGGTTTCCAGGCAGAGCGGACTGCAAGGGCAAAAGCTCAGAGGCAGGAAGTGGCTTGGATTGTTTGGTGGAAGATTTGAAGATGGGATCAAGAGAGGCGAGATGGCTAGGAGCTGGGCTGGGTCCAGACCACAAGATGGTAGGTTGGAGGACTTGGACTCTGTCCCGAGAACAATCAGACTGAAGCTGGAAAGTGAGATAAGCATATTTGCAGTGTAGACCAAGTCCACTGCACAAGGATACACGTGAGGGGGCCAGAGTGGCTGTAGGAAGCCAAGGGGGAGGCTGATGCAGCCCCTCAGAGCCTTGAATGTGGGTCAGGGCAATGGGGTTGGAGACAAGGGAATGCAGGCAGGGGAAGCAGCGTGTGCCAAGGCTCAGAGGGCAGATGGAGCCCCGTGGGTTCAGGGCCATAGGAAGAGTTGGGTGGGGAGACGGGCGTGGGGGGTGGGATGGGAAGAAGAGGGATCTCACACCTCACCTGGTATCACCCTCTTTGCCTACACTTCTTTCTTGCCTGGCCAGCCTGGGATGAGGTTCGGATGGTTTCCCCAAGCTGCCCCATGCCCAGCGGAAGCCCATGTTCATCATGGCAAGTGTGCCCATCAGACTGGGTCCTGCAGTCGGCATATGATGGGTCACCGACGCTGGCTGGCTGGCCGGTGAGAATGGAAAGCCCGTTGACTGAGCGCCCTTGCTCAGCCTGGGCAGGTCTCTTTCCCTCCAGGCTCATGAGGGGTGGGGGAGAGCGTCTCCATTTTCCATGAGGAAACAGGATTTATGAAGTTAAGAGAACTGCTCAGGATCATACAGCAATAAAGTGGTGGAGCAGGATTGGAAATCTATCAGCCACTCATTCAATAAATATGTGTTAACACCTACTACGTACCAGGCACTATTCTAGACACTGGATATACAGCAATGAATAAACGGACAAAAGTCCCTGTCCTTGTGGACTTTACAGTCTAGTGGGGTACCTGGTTGGGAGAAATAGTGAAAATATTTGTACCCTAATACCAAATGTCAAGTCCCCTTATGGCCACCAGAGGGCACTGCGATCACACCACCTTCCTTTCTCTGCTTCCACCTTCCTTTCTGGGTTCCAAAGGTAACAGCCGGGGAGGCTATGAATACTTAGTGCATCTGCTCTGGGAGGAAAGCTGAGGAGAGATGTGCAACAGTTCCTTCTTCCACCCACTTTTCCAGCGTAATCCCCTTGCCAGATCCCTATCCAACTGCTCCAGGTCTTTCTGACTTTTTAAGGCCTCGGGTACTCCAGAGATCCCAAGGCTCATATTCACTCACCAACTTCCATGGACCCACCTGCCCACCCCCTTCCATCTATTCATGCCTCTTCCCAGCCCTCCAACCACCCACCAACTGGGGCACTCAGTCTAGAGGGGCGGGGAGGGCAAGAGGTCAAACCAGGTTGCCAGAGTCAATGAACTCAGTGGGCATGAGTTTGAGCGTGCCAAGGCAAGTTAAAAACTGAAGGCATTTAAAAATGGCAAGACATTATTGGTATCTGAAAGCAATTCAGCTTTCGATCTTTAAAAAATCCCACTGTGGTATTATGTGGTGTTGGACACATGTATTAATTTATCGCTAGCCCTTCAAGACAATATGGTAGGTAAAATTCCATAAATATTTCAGTACCTCTGTACTTTGTTCCAATCACTTTCTGAGTAATAGATCATTTTGGCAGTTACTCAGTAACATTTTAAGACCTGCTTGCTGGGCGCCTGGGTGGCTCAGTCGTTAAGCGTCTGCCTTCGGCTCAGGTCATGAACCCGGGGTCCTGGGATCGAGCCCCGCATCGGGCTCCCCGCTCAGTGGGGAGTCTGCTTCTCCCTCTGCCCCTCCTCCACTTGTGTTCGCTGTGTCTCTCTCTGTCAAATAAATAAATAAAATCTTAAAAAAAAAAAAAAAAAGACTTGTTTGCCGAGGCCCTAAGTAGCTCAGCTTCTAAGACCAAACTACAAAGTACTGAAGGGAATCTCACCATGAGGCTGATCTCCACTGATCACTATACACCTCAGATTGATGCTAGGGGATGAGGGCTTTCTTCATTTCGGGTACGGGGTGCTCTTCAGATCCCTGGAATCTAGTACAGCCCTCCTGGAAAATGATCAGGGGCAGGGTGCCTGGGTGGCTCAGTTGGTTAAGCGACTGCCTTCGGCTCAGGTCATGATCCTGGAGTCCCGGGATCGAGTCCCACATCAGGCTCCCTGCTCAGCAGGGAGTCTCCTTCTCCCTCTGACCTTCCTCCTTCTCATGCTCTCTCTCTACCATTCTCTCTCTCTCTCAATAAATAAATAAAAATCTTAAAAAAAAAACAACGAAAATGATCAGGGGCAGAGATCCTCATGCAAAATTCTGGTTTGGTGGGTTGCTGGGTAACCTCTTTCCTCTCACCCAGTAATTCAACTGAGAGATTCCGAAGCCTGAGATAGTACCAACAAAGAGCTAACTCACGAGCCCTTTGCCCTTTTTTTTTTTTTTTTAAGATTTTATTTATTTATTTGAGAGAGAGAGAATGAGTAGTGGGGAGAGAGAGCCCAACGCGGGGCTTGATCCCAGGACTCTGAGATCAGGACCTGAGCTGAAGGCAGACGCTTAACCGCCTGAGCCACCCAGTTGGCTTCTTGATATTTGGTTGCTCTTCAGCCAAAGGAAAGCGTTTCTGTTGGGATAATATATCAATATGTGAAGGACAATGCTGATTTATTAGAGGCTGGATAAAAATCACTGTTCCCACATTAAAAAACAACAACAATAATAGCCCTCTAACTGTAATCTCACTGAGAACCAAACAAATTTAATTTTTCCCCCCATGATTTGTTTTGTTTTCTTGGAATGTTACAAGCCAGAAGGGGAATTCGTTGAGGTTTTGCAGCGTTTTAGGTAAAGGATTGTACGTAACAGTAAACTACCCAACCAGATAGATGATTCCAGGGGCTAAAGCAAGCCTTGCATTTTTAAAATTCCAATCTAGTTAATTCCAATGGATGAAAAGTGCACTGGGGAAGACAGAGAAGGTGCAGGACAGCAGTTTCCGTGACCTTCTGTGGCAACAACTCAGCAACGCTCCGCATAAAATAATTACAATAGAA